TTCATTTTTATCTTTTCAATAAGGTTATGGTGTACTTATTTTCAATAGGTTGTGGAATTTCCAGTAGGTAAAGTGGCATAAACCTACATTCATTCTACAGTGTAGATGCACTCCAGGAGTCTCAGGAAATTAGTGAAAATAAGAATAAAAGCAGCCTGAAGCTAGCAAATGCATTGTGACACAAGATTTTGTGGGCTGCAGATGCTTCATCAGATGCATAACATTTTTTCCTAAATTATAGTTGTGTATATGAGAATATATACACAGAGTGGGGTGGCTGGGTTTTGTAAACATATCAGAGGAAAGTAAGACACAGGCAATATGGGCAGTGACGATTAATTGTGGCCACTGACAAAAGAGCTTTGTGCCAAGTTTGAGACCTCCCCACACTAACAAATGTGTGTGGTGTGGTGATGGAAGATAACATGTCTTTTAGTAGATTAAAGATTAATCCTCTTGCTTGGTTTTCTTATGCTTTTATGGAAGCATAATGGAATAGGGTAATATTATATTATTCTGATGTGTTGTATACCAACTTGGGGCCATCTGCAGACAGCTGATGTGTTGTTTTTTTTAAATGCCCTAGCTTTTTCTATTTACAGGCTGGATTCAGGCTTGAGAATAAAATCAAGTGGAATCAGTGGGAGTAAAGTTAATCATGAGTAGCATCAACCCCGTTAATTAAAATGGGAATGCTCTAATTATTATATTGATTGATTTCTATCCTGTTTCACCCCAATATGGGACTCAAAATAAGACAATGTGATGATACATCCCAGTGTGTAATCATGTCACTCTGGGCCCTTCCACACAGCCATATAACCCAGAATATCAAGGCAGAAAACCCCACAATATCTGCTTTGAACTGGATTATCTGAGTCCACACTGCCATATATTCCAGTTCAAAGCGAATAATGTGGGAATTTATTCAGCTGTGTGAAAGGGCCTCTGTTGCATTAGTGTCCACAGAGGGAGACTTCAGAGATGGAGACTACTTAGTTACCCTATCGCCAATGGTTATTGTTGGCTTCCATATATGCCGGGCAATTAATCCACTCTTTAGTTTTAGTTCAAACTTTAAAGGTACCAAGGTATAAACCTCTCCTTTCCAAAAAAGATCTAGCAACTTGGACCAATTGTTTAGACCCTAAATAGCTCATTAAACTCCACAAAGGACTTATCTAGAAAGAGAAAAGTCCCAATCCTTTTGTTTTGTTTTGATTTTATCTATATATATATCTACATATATCTGGGTGTCCCTCATTCCCCTGCCTTATGTCCTTCCTTCTTCCCTTTCCACAGATTGCACCTCATGTCTAGACTCAAGTAACATTTCAGAAACTGATTTTTACCAATTTTCACTAAGCTCTTTTTTATTGTTATTCAGAAGTTGTAGTCAAAGTGTTAATGTGCTTTGGTAATATTACACCAGTTTAGCTTTGAGATTCTTTCATTGCTAGCATTCCAGTTTTCCTGGCTGGATCACTGCTGAATCTGCTCTCCTGCAAACAGTTACTGTGCTTCTTGGCATCTACCATCTTAGCTAATATTGGGATCACACGGCCAGCCAGCCATAGATAGGTATATTTTATTTGGGAAAGATTATGTTAATTTAAATTGACCTGGTGAGCAGAAATTAAAAAAAAGGCAAATGCTGGAAATATTTCAAAATACAGAAAAATCATGTAGATTTTTTTTCAAAAATTCAAAAGAGACTTTTTGTTTCAGTCTAGATGGGCCTTAACTTGGGAGATATCAATTGTCTATCATCCTCTATGCGGATTTGCTACTCCCATATAAGGAGTGGCGTCATGGATCAAAACACAAGATTTGGAGGCAAGAAATGTGGAGTAATAGTTAGAGTCCTAGACTGGGACTTGGGAGATCCAAGCTCAGGTGTCCGAGATATGAAACTCTGGGTGACCTTGAGCCAGTTACCTGTGCTTAACTTGACTTATAGCATTGCTATGAAGATAGAAGCAAAGTGAATGAGGACTTCATTGACATTGAAGGGAAGGCAGCACATAAATGCAAATAAATACATAGGAGTCCTTAAGAGGTGCCAATAAAAAAGCAAGAAATACAGATATAGACTGGAACAAGATGTTCTTTTCTTCTTCCTGAAACCCCTGATCTGCCATTCTCAGGCCCCTTCCACACAGCGGAATAAAATCCCACATTATCTGCTTTGAACTCAGATAACACAGTTCAAAGCAGATATTGTGGGATTTTCTGCTTTGATATTCAGGGTTATATGGCAGTGTGGAAGGGCCCTCAGAATCTCTTCTGAGGGCCCTTCCACACAGCCCTGTATCCCAGAATATCAAGACAGAAAATCCCACAGTATCTGCTTTGAACTGGGTTATCTGAGTCCACACTCAGATAATATGGGATTTTCTGCCTTGATATTCTGGGATATAGATCTGTGTGTAAGGGCCCTAAGTGATACTTCTTTCTTTTCCTTGCTGCCATTTTTCTTCATAGGCTTTCAATTACCATCAAATTATGATGAAATTTGAAGAGAAAGCAGCAGTGAGCCAACAAAGCAGCCACACACATCACTGCTGACTGAACTCAGTAAATATCTGATCCCAGATTATCATGTATGGTGACTTTAACCTAGACCATGTTAGCTGAATTTAGTAGCCACTGAGTTAGTCCAGTGATTTTTTTTAATTCACACATGTGAATTAATCTTGATGTGATGCATAGGAAGGGAACTGTCAATTTCAGGGATAAAACAAGTTTAAGAGGAAATTATTTCAGATTCTTGATCTCTCAACAAACATGGATTTCTGTAAAAGTATGAACTGTAGGGGTGGGTCATGAAAATAGCTTACTGCTTGTTAATTTTAAAACTGTTCATTTATGTGCTTTTATATATTAAAATTAAATGTAAAATAAAATAAAAGTGAAGATTGGGCATACAAACATTAATGAAACCCAGTTCTGTAATACGGAGTACCTGTGCTGGTGGCTCAAAGCCTTAAACAAAACTGGGTTGCTCAAGGACTCCAGCATTGAAGCGATGCAGAGTTCTGTGTTCTTAGGACACATCCAGACAGTCCTTTAACCTGGAAACATTCATGTTTTAAAAACACAAACGTCCCTGGGTTATTATCCACACACGTCCCAGAAAGCACATGCTTTTTGGGCAGGTGTCCAGATGCGCTCCCAGAACCTTCTGGGAGAACACCCGGAAACCCTAACCCCCTTTCCAAAACCTGCCAAAAACCCTTTTACAAATAAAAGAACTTAATGGGCCTCCATTAGGGTGCCAGAGTTCCCCAGGTGTGTAGGTATGACGTTCCAGGAGAGCTCTGGCACCACGCTAATGGAGGCCGAGTAAGTTCTTTTATTTTTAAAAGGGGTTGGGGAGGAGATGGGGAGGGAGTTGGTCTCCTTGCCATTTTTTGGGCTAATTTAGCCTGGAAGAACGCAGGGCTACTGTGTGGTTTGCCCCCTCAAAAGTCCAGAAAGTAATGGGTTTGTCCCACCCCTTCCAAGAAGGTGAGGAATAAACCAACTAACAAATTAATCCGTGACAGACCTGAGTTCCTGGTTTGTGGTGAATGAATTTGTTTTTCTGTGGGACATCATCTGGATGGTCCACTTTAAAGTGCAGGAACTCCTGTTTTAAAGGGGCTGTCTGGATGCACCCTAAAGCTAAAAGACATTGCTTATCGGAATAATTCACAGGCATTAACAAAATGACATGTAATGCCGGCATACTGGGAAATGTATGACAAGATATGCTCCGAACGAAAAGGTAAGGCTTCTTTCTGGAAATTTGATTGGATGTTCATTTCTCAGGGAGCTGAAAAATGAACATTAAACAAATAACATTAATTATCTACAGGATTAGACCAAATGTCAATTTAAAATATAATCCACAAGAAGTCCCTGCCCCCAAATATGTAGCAATCACACTAAGAATTTTTGTCCATCCAGTGGAATTTCATTTTCTCAGCATCAAACAATGTAATCTGAGTGGTGGGATTATGCAATATGTGTCCACAAGAAAAATGCTGCATTTTGAAGGGAGGTTTTTAGATCTCTGGAGAAAGGAGGGGATGGTATCTATACATTTATTGAGGGGGAGATCAGAGCCCCCATAAATAGTATGTTTTTTAAAATCCACAACAATGATATACAATGGACATCATTTGGATGAATTCCCCCATTGGATAGATGAGGATATAGCAGCTGTGGTAAAGCCTCCTTCAAAAGTTAGCAAACCAATTACTTTGTTTTCTGAACAGATTTTAAAAGTTTCACCAATTTTACTCACAGAGAAAAAATGTGGTTCAGGATTTTTCTCTCATCATCTGCATTGCACAGAAAGGAGGAAAAGGGAGCAGGTACTATTTGCTCAGTGTGTATACAGCTTTTTTTAAGGGGGGGGGGGGTATTTGCAACACTCTTGTAATTTGCCTTTCCGTATCAAAGAGGGTTTTCATCAGAAAAAAACCCTCACTGTGCCTTTGAAAGCAACCCAGCAGACAGAGAGGTGCTCAATTATCCTTCAGCACTGCATTAAAGAAATACTCCAGAACACAGGGCTGTCTTGTTACTATAACAGCATTAAGACGTACACTGTAAACACAGCTTTAGCTCGTGGCACAGAGGAATTACACCGGTGGCAGGCGGACTTGGAGAGTGACAACACTCCACATATAACCTACCACCAGAAAAAATAATAAAGCTGTGATGGTGACTATTTCAATCAGAGAACATCCAATTTTGCCACTGTCCTTAGCTTCACAGTTACCTAAACATACACACATCCCTTTTCTCCACGTGTCACAAACATCCTGGTGTGACTCCGTCCATTTCACTGGTCCGCTCAGGTTGGATGTACAGAAATAGGCATTAGATCTATATAACAGTTCAAAGTCCTAAATACTTTGCCAGAAGTACTGTTCAATGCATTAACACAAAGCTTTTCCTAGTTGCTTGTATACACATATAAACAGAGCGAAAGAGAAGAAAACCTTTACCTTGAAAGCAAACAGGAAGACACCTTGCTTTCCACTCATGGATCAGAACAAGCCGGATAAACCCTCATCCCAGCAGATTCGTCTGCTGAGAAGTCTTTCAATCCCAGCGAGCGGCTCTAAGTTTGCACTCTGAATAGAGGCTGTGTTATTTTAACCGCAGGATTTCTAGTCATGGGGGGAGGAGAGATGGATTAGGTACGTTTGCAATCTAATGCTCTGAGTTCCTTGCACAAGAAGAGAACAGCCTGGAGCTTGCTGGAAAGAACTTTTGTGTGTGTCGAGAGATACATTTCATGAGACCCCCCTCAAAGCAATTATGCTTAAACTAACATGCTAAAGAACTGTAAAATTCCAGATGAGTAAGATAACGCATGTGTGTGTGTGCTCTTTCCCAAATAAAAGGCATGTGTGGAATTTCTGGTCAAATAGTGACACAAGGAAGATGGAACAGATGTACTCCATGTGGGCCGACCTCTATATCAAGGGCAAAGATCATGTGTTAGGGAAGAGCATCTCCAACATTGGTCCATTTGAAGTATTACATTTGGCACATATCCACATACAGTAGAGTCACACTTATCCAACCTTCACTCACATCCAACATTCTGTATTATGCAACACAGTCTGCCTCCCACCCGGATCCACAGCTGTTTCAATACATGGTGATGTTTTGGTGCTAAATTTGTAAATACAGTAATGACTACATAACGTTACCATATATTGAACTGCTTTTTCTATTGACTTGTTGTAAAACATGATGTTTTGGTGCTTAATTTGCAAAATCATAACATAATTTGACGTTTAATAGGCTTTTCTTTAATCCCTCCTTATTATCCAACATTTTCATTTATCCAATGTTCTGCTGGCCCATTTTTGTTGGATAAGCTGTGCCAGCTTCTTCCATTCTCACGTCAGTGCAGAAAGGCATAAGAGGGAGCCTTAATTTAACATTTTCTTACATTCATATTTGTAAAGGCTCAGTTGTAAGTACCTACCAAAGGTTGGCTGGAAACTGAACCAGGAAGAATTTGCTCAAATAAAGTCACTTATCTTATCAAACTTCTGTCCCAGAAACCCCAGCCAGTTTACCAGCTATTAGGAACTGTGGGAGCTGAAATCCAAAACACCTGGAAGCCCAAAGGTTGGGAATCACTGGTGTAGGAAGACCAAATGGCTGAGCAAGGTCAGAGAGATCAAATTAGATTAGAAGAGGAAAGGCTTCACTGCCTGGAAGATGGTTCAAATAGTGATCATCACATGGAACAGCTATACAGCTGGCTCTTGTCAAGAGATGTGTGAGGATTTCATTGAGTTCCCTTTTTCAATACAAACTTGATCTTGTAACACCAAACCTTTAGCATCCTAGGACACTGCCACCCCAGTTGAGCAACAGAGCCCCACACTGCCCATCACATGACTAATTTCACTTTTGATGGGGTTCCAGCAATGTGTTGCTTGCACAGATAGGATGCTGTACTGCCAACACAGAAGCCTCCTCGTATTCCATTTGGAACAACAAGGCTACTGCGGGAATAAGCCGCATGGTGATGCTTCCCCACATGTGATGGGGAAGTGTTGCTGCTGACTGGCTGGAGTGCCAGGACTGACCCACCAATTCGCCATGGAGGTTGGCAAATTGAGGACGTCCTTTGCGAAATTTGCAAATTTCTTCATAAATCTTATGGGAAAAGGTAGGGCCCTGATAACTTAGCTTTTAAAAGTCAGGCTGTGCATACCTGACTTTTGCAGACTGGCTCAATCAACCTGTTCATGACGTGGGTGGTACTATCTGGCCAGAAGGCAAAACATGAGACCAAAACTAGACTGGTTGGAAAAAACTAGACCCTAGAAAGGAAATTTTAAAAGAGGCATAAGACTCCTATCAGGAGTTTGCATCTCCTGTCACATCTGTCAATCCTTTCTGAATGATATTCCTGAAAATCAAGTAAAGTAAATACTGGAACTCCAATTAGGTTGCTGAGACACAGCTCTAACTTTCAGTAGGAGGAGCATTGAAAGAAGTAGTTCAGGTAGACAAGATACCTGGAGGCAAAGAAACTAATAGACAGCCCCCAGCATACAAACATCTAAAGCAAAACCAACCTGAATTTCCTAGAAAGCCTAATTATATTACAGATCCTGCGAATAATCATATTGCAAGTGGTCAACAAGTATCAGGTGAAACCGAAGCAGCAGAACAAAACAAGGATGGTAAAGCCCAGTTGATTAACTGGCTGGTTGCTTAAATTGTTCTTTTAAAAGCACCAGAATTGAAAGAAAAAAAAGACACCCATTTGATTTCTACATTTTGTTGCTAGAATATAGGTACAGGATCTGGCTTGCAATAACAGGGAAGTTGCTAACATGTCTTAACACAGCCCATGTGTGCTTCAGATAATTACAGGCATAAGATAAGATAATGCTGGGAAAACTGACTTAGAACCTGTTAGGATAATATATGTCCCTGATATTACCATATTTCCCAGAGAGATAGCATTGTGTTTTTATACACACATCCGAAGCATTTGTTAAAGGATTTTATCACACGAGGCAGAAAACTCAGCATGAAAGCAGGTCCCTTTTACTTGATGCTGGTGCACATCCTATTATCATTCTGCCTCTCTCCTGAAATTAACCCATACACTGTTACTGATGGGGGAAACCCAGCAAAAGCTTGTAATTCCACAACATACCCATCACTTAATTTGTCTAATAGGGCCACTCCGCCCTGTTATCTCTACTTTCATGCAGCTGTGCCAGTTCCCTGATCCATGCTCCTGCAATCATACTTCTGAGAGAATAAAATGTATTAATGAAGGTGCTAATGCTAGTATGTATTTGGTATCATGACTGCACAAGTGCTGTGGAATAGCACCTTCATGCAATAAAATCCCAAAATCATCATAATCAATAATGATTTAAGATAAATGCCCCCTCGATGGACTGTCACCTTGTCATGGTGAGGGGGCTTGCGCGTTCCAATGAACCTGTAGGCACAACAACTGGAGTCGTGCACTCCCAGGAGTGGCCGCGGGGGAGGTTCCAGACCAAGCACAGTCCGAAGACCCAAAGACCTCAACGGCGGAGCAGGCGGAGGATAACATGGCACATGTTACAACGGCTGCGAAGGCGGAAGAAGGCTGCAACAGACTGAGAAGCCACGGTCATTGTGTTAAACTACATCACCAGTGGAACCTCACTCTGTGAAGTCTGTGTGTTGATCAGTTGTGCACTGACCTCCACACATTAAAAAAATCCACGCACAGGCGTCTTCCAAAGAAAACAAAAACCAAGCAACCAAAGTCCCATGGCGATCAGCGAGTGGCGACGGGGGCAGGACTGTGAAATCTGGAAGCCCCTAGTCACAGACTGGCACATGGGCGGTGGGTACGGACTCAGTCGTTCTACCTCAAGGTCCGAGGCAGTTGAGTAGTTCGGCAGCTGTATCCGCGACTGAGCAGCCCTATTGAGGACCCACTCTGCTCACCCCACATGGGGAGGGGGCTAGAAAAGGTGCCCTAAACATAGTCTGCCTCACTTATCCCTGACTGGACTGCCGCGTCCAGTGGGGTCACCACCCTGCGGCCAAAAAAGGAAAATGAACTTCGGTACGTGGAACGTACGGCCTCTGATGGACAACAGTGGCAGTGAACGCCCCGAACGCAGAACTGCCATCATTGCAAGGGAGCTGGGACGCTTCAACATCGACATAGCAGCCCTTCAGGA